GGCGTTCTTCAATCCAAACGGCATTACTTTATAACAAAACGTTCCCCACATGGTAACGAACGTCGTTTTTTCCATATCTTCAAGATTCATCTTAATTTGATTGTAGCCAGAGAAACCATCCATAAAAGAGAACAAAGAATTTCCAGCAGTATTATCCACTAGAGTGTCTATATGTGGCAAAGGAAAATTATCTTTTGGACTAGCTCGGTTGAGATCCCTGTAGTCAACACACATTCGAACTTTCCCATCCTTCTTCGGTACTGGGACAATATTAGCTACCCATTCAGGATATTTGGCCACTTTAAGAAACTCGGCATCAAATTGTTTTTTCACTTCCTCTTTAATCTTGAGCAGCATCTCAGGTCTCATTCTTCTAAGTTTTTGTTATACCGGTTTACATTCAGGCTTTATTGGCAGTTTGTGAACAACCAACTCTGTATCTAAACCTGACATATCTTCGTATGACCAAGCAAACACATCCTTGTATTCTTGAAGCAGTTCTATCAAATCTTGTCGACCTCCAACTGACAGAGTGGTACCAATCTTTACTTCCCTCTTATCTTCATCTGTCCCCAAATTCAAAATCTCAGTAGACTCTTTATGAGGCAGAATCTGCTTATCTTCATTCTCCACCATTTTCAGCAATTCAGAAGGTAGTTCACATCCCTCATCATCATCACTTGTTTTTTCAGACTTTCAACCTCTCCCTGGCTCGAGCTACATTCCTTGTTTCGATATCGTCGTAATGCAGTCTCTAAACTTGAAATTTTCTCCTTCAACTTTTCATTATGGGCTTGACTCTTTTGTAACCGCTGCTCTAAAGAATCCTTTTCTTTCGATAAAATTTTCACTTGGTGCCTGCTTTGCTTGAGCTCTTCTTGACTCTCTCCGGCTACTCTTTTGAGGCTCACCACCTCTTGCCTCAATTCGACAAACTTACTCGAGCTAGAACCTACTTGAGCTTTTACTATTCGCTGATAAGTTGACCGAAGATCGTCAAAGTCTAGCCGAAGTTGCTTCTCTACTTTTTCAATTCGATCTGCTCTACTCTTCTGAATGTCAATCTCCAATCCCTTTTGATACACTTCATCTTCTAGCTTCTGTAAAGTCATTCTCCATTGTCTCCGTTCTGCTTCGAAATCGCGCTTAGCTAACTCTAATGGAGATGGCACCACTCTCAATTGTTCTTCCACCGGTTGAATATTTTCAGGATTCACCATCGGGATATTGTCATTGACTCGACCGCTTCTCCACTGCTCGTACTCTTGAGATAACTCGAGATCATAGGTGAACAAATTCACGCGACGAGTTTGCTTCCAGGCCTCAGCAACCCCTTTAACTTTAACCTTATAATGATCTCATTTGAATGCAAACTCTGATCCTACCAAGTCCCACGTGGCTGGAATGAACTGCCTCGACCCATACTGTCTGGAAACTAGTAGCGGTGCATACCCAACAAAACCCCATATACCTGGTAAAGGAACTCAATCTCGCTCTCCACATCGGTAAAGTATATCTGAAGAGGTATTCCACGAAGCTCGCCACAAAATATCACCATCTCTGATATCCTTGAAGATAACTATCCATTTTTCTTCGGTAAAGCCCCCAGGCCACTCTTTAGAAAGAAAATCCTTCAAAGGCGAGAAACCGTCTAGAAACACTCGTCCTGGTGCTCTTTCAACATGTTTGAAATGACTTAGAATCCACACTAGCAGCAAAGGCGCACATCCTATAAAGCGTCTTTCTCCCTCGCGCCTACAAGAACTCAAAGACCGAAACGTCTCAGCTAGAATAGCTGGAACAGGATCCACGTGCTTGTCTAATCTTTCAAACAGGTCAACAAATGATACGTCTACATATCCTAGCACTTTTGGAAAAATAACAAGCCCATAAATCCCTAAAGCAAACAAGTCATGCTTCTTTCTCTTATCAGGATGATGAGCAATTACTTCTTTCAGAGCAGCCCAAGAGATGCACTCACTGTCTCCCTTCTTCTTAGTGTTTCTGACTACCCAATCTTCACTCATTCCGGGTTAACCCCAGAACAATCTCAGAATGTTCAAGTGACCCCTGTTCATGTCGGGAAGGTGCACATTAATCCAGTCGGTGCTTCTGTTAACGTACAGCCTGGATCTAGTTCGTATCAGGAAGAACATCAATATCATCAAGTTCCGGACCTTGATGAAGAAGCCAAGAAGGACCAAAACAATCTGTTGGAAGAGAAATGGAAGCAGTTAGAAAGAGAGGTCAGAGCCATGAAGGAAGATACCAGTGTCTATGGATTCGACGCAAAGGAGTTAAGTCTAGTTCCTGATCTGGTCTTACCTCCAAAGTTTAAAGTTCCTGACTTTGAAAAGTTTGATGGTACCAGGTGCCCCTCTGCACATATCACAATGTTTTGTAGGAAGATGACCGGATACATAGGGGACGATCAATTGTTGATACACTGCTTTCAGGAAAGCTTAACTGGCTCGGCAATCCGATGGTATAACCAGCTGAGTAGAGCTAATATTAAATCGTGGAAAGACTTGGCTAAGTCCTTTCTTGAGCAATACAAACATGTGAAGGATGTTAGGCCCAACAGGATGATGTTGCAAGGAATGGAAAAGAAGTCTAACGAGAGTTTTAGACAATATGCTCAAAGATGGAGAGATGTAGCAGTGCAAGTCCACCCGCCATTGGAAGAGGAAGAAACAAATATGCTTTTTGTCAACACCTTAAAAGCTCTTTTTTTCTCGCATCTTATCGGTAATCCTTATCGAAGTTTTGCTGATGTAGTTACGGCGGGATAAATGATTGAAATGGCTGTTAAGAGTAGGAAGCTCGAGGGAGGAGAGTCTAGTAAGAGGCCACCAACGAGGAAAAAAGAAAACGAAGTCAGTAATGTGAGGCAATACGATTCTAATAACATCACTGTTTCCCGTCCTCAAGGAGCAGGGTCATCGACATAAAATGACAATAGACAAGGGGCAAGGGACCAGAGGAGAGAGAGGCCTCAATTTGACCATATCCCGATGACTTATAAGGAATTATTTCAGATTTTGTATGATCGACATGTGGTTTCGCCGTATCACGTGACACCAATGCAACCTCCTTTTCCCAAATGGTATGATGCTAGTGCTCAGTGTGAGTACCATGCAGGGAACCCTGGGCATTCCATTGAGAATTGTACTGCTTTTAAGAAGGTTGTCCAAGCTTTGAGAACGAGGAATGTCATCAACTTTGGTGACAGTGAGCAGCCAAATATAGCTCAGAATCCATTGCCAAGCCATGCAGGGGCAGGAGTTAATGCGATTACTGAAGAGAAAGGAAAGAGAATTGTAAGGAATGTTGGTGAGGTGGTATCACCCATGAGTTGGGTGTGGTGCCAGATGGTCAAGGTAGGATTGTTGAAGCCCAGTTTGATGGGTGAACAGTTTAACAGTGGAGAGGTATGTCTGTATCATAACAGTGAGGGACACAATATTCAGCAATGTCCTGACTTCCTATCTTTGGTACAAGACATGATGGACAGTAAAGAAATTGAGTTCTTTAGAGAGATTGCTGAAGATGAGGAAGCGGAAGTTTGTGCTTCAGAATGATCGTCTAAAGGGGTATACAATGCCAGTTGTCCCCTAATTATTACTCCCAAAAATCGAGTTGCTGAGAAGGTAGCCCCGAAAGTGGTTATTACACCTCCATCTCCATTCCCATATCGGGATAATAAACAAGTGCCTTGGAGATATGATTGCCAGATGGGAGATGTAACAAAAGAGAATGAGGAAATAGATGAGGTGGGACGCTTTACTAGAAGTGGTAGGTGTTATTCTCTTAATCCACCTAAAGAGTCTGAGAAGAAGGTTGTAGTTGATAAGGGGAAAAAGGTTGATGTGCAGATAGAAGAGGATAAGCCTGTTATCAATGAACCAGTAACCGAGAGTGAAGCGGTAGAATTTTTGAAGTTTCTGAAACACAGTGAGTACAGTGTTGTGGAACAGTTACACAAGTTGCCTGCCCGTATTTCTGTTTTATCATTACTTTTGAGTTCAGAGGTCCATAGGAATGCTCTGTTAAAGGTTTTGAACCAGACTTTTGTTCCGAAAGAGTTGCCCATTGAAAAGTTGGATCGGTTAGTTTCTAATGTACAAGCTGATAATTTTTTATCTTTTTCTGAGGATGAAATCCCTTCTGGGATGATGGGTAGTCAGAAGGCTTTGCACATTACAGTTAAATGTAAAGGGTATGTGTTGTCCCGGGTCTTGGTTGATAATGGTTCAGCTTTGAATGTGATGCCTTTAGTGACTCTAAAGAAGCTTCCATTAGATAGTACACTTATGAGAACCTGTCAAAGTGTGGTTCGAGCTTTCGATGGGACTAAAAGAGAAGTGTTGGGCAAGATTGATGTTCCTCTGAATATTGGTCCAGCAACTTATGAAGTGGAATTTCTCGTAATGGACATTATGCCTACGTACAATTGTTTGTTGGGAAGGCCTTGGATTTATCAGGCCGGTGCAGTTCCGTCCACATTACACCAGAGACTGAAATTTGTGATTGATGGAAGGTTGGTATGTATTCATGCTGAAGAGGACATTATTGCTTCTGTTTCTACTACTGCTCCGTATATTGAAGTTGATGAGCAAGCCGTTGAGTGTTCTTTCAGATCGTTGGAGTTTGTCAATGATACGTTTGTGGCCGAAGGCAAGAAGATACCAAAGCCTCGATTGTCAAACTGTACCAAGATGAGGCTTAAATTGACTCTTGGAAGAGGAGCAAAAGTTGGAAAGGGTTTAGGCCGATAGTTGCAAGGACCGGTGAATCCCATATGCCCTATTACTAAAAAAGATCGATTTGGTTTGGGATATCAGCCAACTTCGAGGGATAAGATGAGGGGAATTAAGAAGGGCCAAGAAATCAGAAAGGCCAGATTGGCTGGTGAAGACCTTAGCTGGGAACCCATGACCTTCCCGCCGTTGAGTAGCATTTTCATGTCTGGGGGGCATATGTTTCAAGGGAATTCAAGAAACACTGAGATGATGGTTGAGAATGCCTTGGGAAATTTAGGCATTAATGTTATAACTGATGATGAATCCGAGGAAATGAGAGCTATGGGCATTTATCCTGCACCACCGGGCTTCGTGTTGAACAATTGGACCGCGGAAGAACTGCCTGTAGTTTACAAATCTTTTACAGAGTAATGCACTGGAACTTTCTCCCTGTTGTTCATACCCTGGGGCAATAGGTGATTTCATGTAAAGGGTTAAGCTGTTTGTTTTTTCTTGCTTTCAATAAAAGATGCATTCTATTAGTTCCAAATGGCAAACATTTTCCCATGCATTTCATTCATTCATTCTTTGTTGTATATATGTATGTATTTATTTCTTTCTATTTATTTATATGGGAAAAGATCCTTCCATATGTATATATGTATATATATCTTCTCTTTCATTATTTTTTCAGGAGCTCAAATATCAATAATATGAATGCCAATGACTCTGACCCGGAGATTGATTTCGAGAAGTCTATATGTCAAGGAGAAATCGAGGATTGTGATGATGATGAGGGATGTGAACTACCTTCTGAATTGCTGAAAATGGTGGAGAATGAAGATAAGCAGATTCTGCCTCATAAAGAGTCTACTGAGATTTTGAATTTGGGGACAGATGAAGATAAGAGGGAAGTAAAGATTGGTACCACTCTGTCAGTTGGAGGTCGACAAGATTTGATAGAACTGCTTCAAGAATACAAGGATGTGTTTGCTTGGTCATACGAAGATATGCCAGGTTTAGATACAGAGTTGGTTGTTCACAAACTGCCAATAAAGCCTGAATGTAAACCGGTACAACAAAAACTGAGAAGAATGAGACCTGAGATGCTGCTCAAGATTAAAGAGGAAGTGAAAAAACAATTTGATGCCGGGTTTCTTAAAGTGGCCAAATATCCTGAATGGGTAGCTAATATTGTCCCAGTACCGAAGAAGGATGGGAAAGTTCGAATGTTTGTTGACTACAGGGATCTCAACCGAGCTAGTCCAAAAGATAATTTTCCTTTGCCACATATAGACACTCTAGTGGATAATACTGCTGGAAATTCTTTGTTCTCTTTTATGGATGGTTTCTCTGGCTATAATCAAATTAAGATGAACCCTGAAGATATGGAAAAAACGACATTTGTTACCATGTGGGGAACGTTTTGCTAGAAAGTAATGCCGTTTGGACTGAAGAATGCAGGGGCAACATATCAAAGGGCCATGGTGACGTTATTTCACGACATGATGCATAAAGAGATAGAAGTTTATGTCGATGATATGATTGTCAAAGCTAAGACAGAGGAAGAACATATTGAGAATTTGAGAAAGCTTTTTAAAAGACTAAGAAGATGCCAGCTAAAACTCAACCCAAATAAGTGTACTTTTGGGGTGACATCTGGGAAGTTATTGGGATTCGTAGTAAGCCAAAAAGGAATTGAAATAGACCCAGATAAAGTAAAGGCTATTCAAGACTTGCCAGCCCCACAAACACAAAAAGAAGTCAGAGGATTTTTGGGGAGATTGAATTATATAGCTCGGTTTATTTCACAGCTGACGGAAAAGTGTGATCCCATATTCCGCCTTCTTCGTAAGAATAACTCAGGAGAATGGAGTGAGGATTGTCAAAGAGCTTTTGAAGCAGTGAAAAGATATTTGTCGAGCACTCCAATCTTAGCGCCACCCATCTCAGGCAAACCCTTGATTCTTTATTTGTCAGTTTATGAAAATTCAATGGGGTGTGTACTGGGGCAACGTGACCAAACTGAGAAGAAAGAAAGGGCTATCTATTATCTCAGCAAGAAGTTCACTGAATGTGAGACAAGATACTCACCCATTGAAAAGTTGTGTTGCGCTTTAGTATGGGCTACCCGAAGGCTTAGGCAATATATGTTGTATCATACTACTTGGCTTATATCCAAGCTTGATCCCTTGAAATATCTAATGGGTGTGCCTGCATTATCTGGAAGATTAGCTCGTTGGCAGATCTTATTGTCCGAGTTTGACATCCAGTATGTAAACCAGACGGCAATTAAAGGAAGTGCTATAGCGGAATTCATTGCAAGAAGGGCTTCAGAAGAATATGAGTCGTTGAGCTTTGATTTCCCAGATGAAGATTTAATGGCTATTTCGGTAGAAGAAGCAGTTGCATCCACTAGTAAATATTGGAAGTTGAACTTCGATGGTGCTTCAAATGCCATGGGACATGGAATCGGGGCAATTTTGGTATCACTAGAGGGAGAGCATTATCCTTTCACCAGTCGGCTTAATTTTGATTGTACTAACAATATGGCTGAGTATGAAGCTTGTGTTCTGGGTCTTAGAGCTACTGTTGAACGCAAAGTAAAAATGCCTCTTCCTTCACCTCGTGCTTTATCTTCTCCTTTAGGTTCTGGTTCTGCTTCTGGAATGGGTAGCCCATCATCTCATAGGTCTAGCTATTCTGCCTCCTCTGGTTCTCAGCTCTTTTCTTTTAATAATTTAAGAAGTTACTCCATGTCATCACTTCCTCAAAGTGTTACTCCTCCTCGGGGACCTATTAAAGCCCAAAGTTCTAAATCATCATTTGACCTTGATGAGGTGGACCGTTACTCTTCTCAAAAGATTTTGAAAAGTCAAAGAACAGGGATTGAAGAGCTTTTATCTTTTCGGGGTGTGTCACTAGAGCGGGAAATATTTTCTGTTCGTTGTGGGTTACGGGGGATTCATATCCCGGGAAGAAGATGGAGTAAGAAACTTGAAATAATTCAACCTGTTGAGATCCATTCTTATGCTGCCAACTGCAATACAGATGACCTTCTTTGCGTTCAGATAAAGGTAAACCCTAATGCTTACCATACCTGGTATATCATGAGCTCTTCGCCTCCACTCTCTGTGGACATGGTCAAAAGGTTCTTTTATTCACTTGTGATGTTATATTGCAGAATGTTTCTCCAGCACATATACCAAATATTGTTGTACACGTAGATGCTATAACAGTTGTTTTAGAAGAGTCTTCAAAAGTTGGACCACCTGCTTCCTTACCAGTTGCATGTATTGAAGCTGGAAACGATCATAGTTTGCCAAATCTAGCTCTCAGGTTGTTTTCACTCTAGGTACCTTAATTTACTTCAAAGTGTTCTTTGACATTTTGCAGTTTAGCTTGATGATTAAGGTGTAAATTGTAGGAATTATAGAAATATATGATTATGTAAATATCTTTTAATTAAGGGATTTTGTAAATATTCTACAATCCCTTATTTTAAGGGATCGTATCTCCTATGATTAGTATTTTTCCTTTCTTAGAGTTTCCTACTTTAGAGAGATGATTTGTATATAAATATGTAATTTGTCCTATTGAAAAAAATAAGAAATTACAGAGAATTACTCTGATTTCTACATGGTATCAGCTTAGGTTACGGTTTCTTTCCAACCTAGATGATGTCCACAACTTCTTCTCCTACTCCGGATATCACTTCAAATCCAGAAATTTTTTTTGGTTCTGCTGCTCAATCAGAAGGTAATCTGGTCATGAAAGAACCAGAAGGTAAACCTCATGCTACAGTTTTTTTCTCCTCCCAGTCGTCCCCTAATGGATCCTTGATTCTAGTGCTACGGATCATATGACTGGAAATAAGTATTTGTTTTGCAATTTTTTCCCAAACTTTGGTAAAGCTGTCAAAACGGCTGATGGTTCTTTATGCAAAATAGAAGAACATGACATTGTTATTCTCAATGACTATATTGTACTTAAAAATGTCCTCTTCGTACCAAATCTGGCTTGCAATCTCGTTTCCGTTAGTAAACTTTCCACCTACTTGCACTGCTATGCAATTTTTAATGATATTGATTATACTTTGCAGGCACTGAACTTGAAGAAGATGATTGGTAAGGCCAGCTTGCAGAATGGTCTCTACATTCTTCTTGCCCCTACTAAAATCGAAATCTCGAAATCTTTTACCGTTTTAGAAAAAGTTGATAATGTTATCTTATGGCACTATCGTTTAGGTCATCCTAGTTTTCACGTTTTCACTATCTTGCAAAAGTTTTTCCTGCTCTATTCATTCATAAAAGGCCAAATTCTTTTTCTTGCAAAGTTTGCTCTCTTGCCAAACATACTAAATCAACTTATTCTCCTTCTACATATAAGTCTTCTCACCCTTTTGCTTTGTTCCATAGTGATATTTGGGGTCCTTCTCGGGTGAAGAATGCTGATAATTGTAAGTGGTTTATCACTTTCATTGATGATCACAGTAGGATAACTTGGACTTATTTGCTAAAAGATAAATCTGAAACTGCTGGTGTTTTTACCCAAATTTATAACATGGTTCTCATTCAATTTGAGTCTAAAATTCAGCTCTTTAAATCTGATAATGGCAGTGAAATTTTTGCTAAGTCTTTGGGTGCGTTTTTCAGGAAAAAGGGCATAGTTCAGATTAGTTCTTGTGTTGACACCCCACAACAAAACGGTATTGCCGAAAAAAAATAGACACCTCATTGAAGTTAATCGTTCTCTTCTATTTACCACTAATGCTCCAAAATATTTGTGGGATGAAGCCTTATTAACTGCCACATATTTAATCAATTGAATGCCTAGTAAGGTTTTACAATTTCAAACACCTCAATTTATATTTTTACAATACTTTTCCCATTTTAAACCTATCTCCTCCATTCTTCCACTTAAAATATTTGGTTGTACTGTTTTTATCCAAAACATTGCTCCTAATAAGTCCAAGTTAGATCCTAAATCATTAAAGTGTGTACTGGTTGGTATTCTTCACTTAAGAAGGGTTATAAATGCTATCATCCTCCTTCAAAACGATTTTTTACCACTATGAATATAACATTTTATGAGCAGGATCCCTATTTCACTCAGGCTGAAATTCAGGGGGAGACATGGAAGGATTTTCAGCCACATCAACTATCTCCTCCTACTCTTCATTCTCAACCTTCAGAATTGCCACCAATTTTGTCCTTACCTACAGATTTGTCACCTGTAACTACTCCTATTGATCCACCGGTAGTACCTATCACTACTTCACTCATACCCACTTTAAATACCCTTCCTGAAAATACACTTACTCCCATTCAAAATATTCCACAAACAACACCAATCAAACAGTTTGGTTTTTATACAAGGAAAATAAAACATATTCCTGAGGCTGTTTTGCAATCTGATGCTTGTCGAGAATTGGATTTGGGTCCAGCTGCCGAAATAGAAGAAGAAATCAGTAAGTCCACTTTCCTTACTCTAGATGACTTCCCTATTGCTATTAGAAAAGGGGTTAGACAGTGCACCAAGCATCCTATTGAAAAATTTGCTGGTTATAATTCATTGATGCCGTCTTTTCAAGCATTTACAACAAACTTGGATAAAGAACAGGTTCCCACAAGCATAGCTGAAGCTCTAAAGGATTCAAATGGAGAAGGGCTGTTGAAGAGGAAATTTGTGCACTGGAGAAAAATGCTACTTGGACTGTTACGGACCTTCCTCAAGGAAAAATGTTGTTGGCTGTAAATGGATCTTTACTGTAAAGTATAACTCAAATGGTAGCATCCAACTATACAAAGCGAGACTAGTGGCCAGAGGCTTTACACAAACATATGAGATAGATTTCACAGAAACTTTTGCACCTGTGGCGAAGCTGAATACTGTTCGAGTACTCATAAGTTTGGTTGTAAATTGCGATTGGAAATTATACCAACTTGATGTAAAAAACGCTTTTCTTAATGGCAAACTAAAAGAAGAAGCCTATATGAAGTTGCCACCTGGCTTAAAGTCTGTTGAAGGAAGTAACAAGGTGTGCAAGCTCAACAAGTCTCTATACGGGTTAAAACAATCACCCAGAGCTTGGTTCGAGAGGTTCACTAAAGTCATCCTAAAAAATGGCTACAAGCAATCCCTCGCCGATCACACTCTTTTCATCAAGGTAACTTCTACAAATAAGAAAGCTATCCTTATTGTGTACGTGGACGACATAATTCTTACCGGAGATGATGAAGAAGAGATTTGTAATTTGAAGAAGTTGTTAAATAAGGAATTTGAAACCAAAGACTTGGGAAAGCTAAGGTATTTCCTAGGAATGGAGGTGACAAAGTCAAAAGAAGGACTTGTGATCAACCAAAGAAAATATGTACTTGATTTACTCAAAGAAACTGGTTTTCTTGGTTGTAAGCCGAATGATACACCAATGGAGGCAAGCTTGAAATTTAACAAAGAAGATGAGTCCTTGGTAGACAAAGAGAAATTTCAAAGATTAGTTGGGAAACTAATTTATTTATCCTTGACAAGGCTAGATATAGCATTTCCTGTAAATGTGATAAGTCAACACATGACTAATCCTACTGAAGAGCATATGGCAACAGCAAATAGAATTCTCAAGTACTTGAAGAAAACTCTAGGACACGGTTTAATGTTTAAGAAAACACAAGACAAAACTGTTAAGATCTTTACAGATTCTAGTTGGGCCGGAGACCTTACTGAAAGGAGATCCACTGGTGGCTACTGTACCTTTGTTTGGGGAAACCTTACAACTTGGAGAAGTAAGAAACAATCTGTCGTTTCAAGAAATAGTGCTGAAGCTAAATTCAGAGCACTAGCATTGGGAATATGCGAAGGAATTTGGATACTTAAACTACTGAAAGAACTTGTCACTAATCAAGAGGATCACTTTGAAGTTTTATGTGATAATCAATCTGCTATTCAAATTGCCAAGAACCCAGTTCAATATGATCGGACAAAGTTGAGATTGATAGGCATTTTATTGTTGTTCAAGTTAACAAAAAGACAACCACTCTTTCATACATTCCTTTAGAAGAACAAGTTGCAGACATTCTTACTAAGGCTTTGCCAAAGCCTGTTTTCAATAAATTCCTATTCAAGCTGGGATTATACAATATATTCTCCAGCTTGAAGGGGAGTGTAGGAATTATAGAAATATATGGTTATGTAATATCCTTTAATTAAGGGATTCTGTAAATATTCTACAATCCCTTATTTTAAGGGATCATATCTCCTAGGATTAGTATTTTTCCTTTCTTAGAGTTTCCTACTTTAGAGAGATGATTTGTATATAAATATGTAATCTGTCCTATTGAAAAGAATAAGAAATTACAGAGAATTACTCTGATTTCTACATAAACCACCAAAATGCAAAATATATCCATATTTTGTTGTTGTATTTAGTCATTCTTTCTTAGAATAGATGGGATTATGTGCTGATCATTTTGTGAGCAACAAGAAATTGTTGCAGAATATTAAATAGTAAATTCACAACACATGGCTGCATGCCCCCAGGACTGCCTTTGAAGGGTATAAATATATTTGGCAGTTATCTATTTCTTGGGGTGTGTTTGGAATTAAGGTTTAGAAGAATTGTATCTACCGTCTCATGGGTGTCTAAGTGGGAAGGGCTGTCTTTTCCCATGAGCTTATCGATAGTTTCTGTTGCAGGAGGGGTGAAGAGCATTCTTTTATTTTAAAACCAGCTTCTTCTGTGTGGAAGAACCTCAAAACTTATGGAGAAAAGTCCAAGGCATCCAGTTGGAAATACCTTTTGAAGACATTCAACCAAAAGGGGAGTTGTTTGATTGGTAACCAGTATGCAATTATGGTAGCATGTCGTTGCAACTACAGTGGTATGTGCGTCTGTTTCTCTGAGTTTACAGCATCATCTGGAAAGCTTTGCATTAATTACATGTTCTAACTATTAGCGTATCATTTTTTTCATGTAAAATTTAGAGTCAAGGTTGTTTTTAAAGCAACCAACTAATAGGAGACCACGTATTTCGAGGGATCTTATGATCTCTGTCACAAGCAAAATGTCAGGACAATATCCTGGATCAAGTGAAAGATCCTCCCAGCTTCCCGTTAGGTTTTATTCTATCTGATTCCCACCCTCTTTCGTCCTTACATGCTTCTTACATATTAATCTATGACGAATCTTATTCCACTTGTGTGATTGTCAGGTCTTAACTCTTAAGGCTTCAAATTTGACATCCGAGGATCTAACTATGACCGTTCTTGCTCCAGCCTCCTTTACCTCACCCCCATCTGTGTTATCCTTGAATTCTTATCCAACAACGCCAAGGAGCCCATTTCTTGGTTTTTCTGCCTTTGCCGGGAAAGCAAGTAGAGAGAGGCATGCTAGTGCAATGCAGAGACTTGGCTCAATGCCCACTGTATCAGAGAGTCAGAAACAGAATGGTGATGCTAGGACTAGGTCTACTTCTTTTGATGAGCAGTTGCCTCCAATAGCTAATTTCATTCCAACTTCTGCTTTGGAATGTACTCATCTCTGGCTGCAGGTAGAGTACCATTAGGGTAATGTATCGCTATCACCTTTTTCTAATATTATTTCAAACTTCGAATACACAAATGATAACAAATCAATCGATTGCTTCAGACGTGTTCCTGCTCAATCTACGGCTACCATTAAGATGGAGCTACTTCCGTTGACTGAAGGCATAATAACACTGGACAGTTTACGGATTGATGTCAAGGAGAAAGGTATCCATCTGTTTTCTTTTTATGATCTTCCCTAGAAGTGACATTAAGGAAAAAAATGTTAGAATGTCTGTTATGGGATCTATTATTTAGCACTAAGCTTGCCTGTTCTCGATCGAATTGTATTTAGTAGTCTCTCCTCTTCAACCATAAGTTAGTTTTACATTTTATGTTCACATTTCCTAGAGCACATTTCGCAGATTGTGTTCATTTCATTATAGTTTCTTCATTCTGTAAGGCATTACACTTTCTTACCGGATATCGTCAAATGTTCATGTTTTATCTTTCACGGTGAATCCTTTTGTGATGCAACAGGTCGTACGTACATCCCGGAGCGCTCACCGATGATAAATGCGACTACTAGCATCTCCATGCCGATTATTTAGGATGGATTGCAAATCGTGTTTCTTATTTTTACTTTTACATTTAACCATCAAGGATTTCAAAGCGTGATTAATTTTGTTACCCGGTATTCAGCTTTTACAGCCATATTGTGCACAATCTTTGGAACCGAGATGGCTATCTTTCCTTGTTGAGCAGCAAGCGAACTCGTCAGAAAAATACAACCGCAAAATGATTTCTTGTAAGCTGCAATCTTGAGAATGACATTTTTTTATTTACCCTCTTTGACAGGAAAGAAACGTTCTTTGCATCTAGAGATGGGTGAAATGATACGATATGTTGTGTTTCAGAGTTCATATATTAAACTTCCAAGATTGCTTAAAATGAACATGCAGAGGATAAAGTACGTAAATGGTCCTTCGATTATAGGATATTTTATTGAGTTTTTCGACTATTAAAAGTTATGAAATTGTCCCTCTACTATAGAGAGTTGGTTTGTTGAGTCTCTCGACTATTAAAAATTACAAACTGATCACTCTACTATTAAAAATTACAAACTGGTCACTCGACTATTTATTATGTTTCGAACTTATCATTTTCTGCTAAAAAATTAACGGTCATCTGAGTTAGACGTTAACATGCTGATTGAGATGTGATAATTATTTGAGATTATGATATCAAATTAATTTTATTATAGCTCAGATTGTATTCAAAATTTTAACAGAAGATGATAAGTTCGGAACATAATGAATAGTCGACGACCATTTTGTAACTTTTAATAGTCAATGGACTTAACAAAACAACTCTCAATAGGCAAAAGAACATTTTATAACTTTTAAAAATTAAGGGACTTAATAAAATAATATCTTATAGTCAATGGATCATTTATGTACGTATACGTAAAATACTAAAAGATCATTTTTGTACCTATACGTAAAATACTAAAATAAATATCACATCATAGGTAAATCGTGAACAAGACCACTAATTAAGGCATAGGTAAATCGATGATCTAAAATGAAATGGGAATTTGGTTGTTCAAAGCCAGAATCCATACGAATTCAAGAAAATAATTATTTCCAAAATTTATTAGAATTTAAATGTGAAAGAAATTGGTCAGGTAGCAAGGACGAAACCATTAAAAAATTAAGAGGGCTTGTTCTTCTAATTTTTTATATAATACTATTTTAAATTGTTTTCATTTTAAATATTAAAAATTTATTACTTAAACAAAAATCATTTTAATATTTTAAAAATAATTTTATAAATGAATCTATTATTTAAATTTTCATTCAAACACTCTCTAAAACGACATATGATGCATAAGCTTTCTGTTAGATAATATATTTATATATTCTAAAAATATTCTAAAAAATATCAATTGAACTAAGAATTATTCAAACAAATTATATAATATATTATAATTTAATATCATATTATATATAATTTGACGTAATTAATAAATTTATGAAGTATTTATTTATATTCATATATCTCGTTTGACTATAATCTATAACTATATAACGACAGGAAAAAAATAGCCCTTACATAAATATAATTATTTTGGTTATTCAACTTTTAAGAATTATAAAATTAATTGCACGAATCAACTTATCTTAGTGATTAAAGAAATCGTCGTCAAATGATTGAGAGTATTTAGAAGATATACTACTTTGTATGTTAGCTTAATAAAAATAATTATTATAATTTTATAATAAATTTAATAAATTATTTTATTACCGTTGGATAATTCTAATGGATTTTTATAAATTTTTAAAAATTTAATAGCTAAAACTATCATTTAAATATGACTAAGTGATCAGTTGACCCAAAAATAATTTGTATATATGGAAGATGAAACGGACACACAAAAACGAGTAAAGAATCCATAGACTATACGCCTCCAGTTCCCTATAGTTTCCTCGCATATTCTCCTCCTTATACGTCGTCGTCCCGAGTTCACTCGGTTTCTTTGTTTTCTGTCTCTGATTTTGCAACGAACTGTATTTTTATTTAAGTGAAATCAAACTCAATGAGCTGTTATTTTGAGATGAGAACTCAGTTTTTCATGTTGGATGTCTGATAACGGGAAAACTGTGACAAGTCTTTAGTAATGGACGTTTGAATTTGATACTGGAATTCAGACCACTGAATCATATATGTTGATGCTGGTTTTGTGCATTTAAGTTCAAAGCATGGGCATTTTGGCTTAGTCCCATCATTTTCTTTTTCTAGCTGGTTCTGATATTTTACTATGTCAGCAGGATACCGTGTTTGTTAACGTGGTTGCTTCAATCCAATACCGAGATGAAGGCACAAGATGCTTTCTATAAGCTCAGCAATACTAGAGCCCAAATCCAATCATATGTATTTGATGGTATGTATACTTTAGATTTCCTTAAATTTTGTAGAATGTCAAGTATGTGCCATGTGCTTATTTTAAGTTTATCAACACTTGTTGCAAAGGAAATCTTGAAATACAACAGAAACGATGAAAAAAGAATGAAGAAATTGCTTCTTGATTGTATTACTTGAACACTAATTTACAGCTTACAATTATGCTTTTATACAGCAGCGTATCAACTCCCTATAACAGACTAACAACCTCATAACCGTCTAGATTCTAGAACTCTACTAACTTCTGATCTAGAACCTTCACACAAGCTGCCTCGTTCATTCTAGAACTTCCATACGAGCTGCATCACTCATTCTCTCAACATTCCCCCTGCTTCTTCCCCTCTTCAGCAATCAAACACACATTCACCTTATCACGAAAACTACTAAAGATAGCTTTTGCTAATGGTTTTGTCAAGTCATCAGCAACTTGATGAGCTGCTGGAACATAGCTTACACATAATTGATTTGCAGCTATCTTTTACTGAACAAAGTGCACATCGAGATCTACATGCTTGGACTGTGAGTGGTACACCAGATTAGCACTCAACGCAATCGCACTAGTGTTATCACACCATATTGTTGGCTGTTGGCATTGAGACAGCTTCAAATCAGTGAGCAAAGCATCAACCCATGCTACTTCAGCCGCTGTGTCCGCAAGGCTTCTGTACTCAGCTTCCATGGTTGAACGTGACACCACCTTCTGTTTTTTAGCACTCCAAGTCACCAAACTTTCTCCAACGAAAACACAGTAGCCCGACATCGATCACCTATCATCTGCACATCCACCCCAGTCAGCATCCGAGAAGGCTGATATACGCAGTTTGCCTGGAACAAACCCCAGCCCATAGTCCAACGTTCCAGCTAAATAACGCAGAATGCGTTTAGCAGCAAGCAAATGATGTTCTCTTGGTGCATGCATATATTGTGCCACTTTGTTTACACTAAAAGCGATGTCGGGTCTAGTATGACACACGTAGAGCAGCCCTCCTACAAGGCTTCGAAATTCACGTGCATCAGCCAACGGCTGCCCATCATCCTTCTTCAACTGCGAGGATGCAACCATAGGAGTAGAAGTACTCGAGGCCTTAGTCATTTTCGCTTTTTCAAGCAACTCTAGAGTATACTGTTTTTGACTAAGAATCAACAGTTGATCATATCTCTTAACTTCAATGCCTAGGAAGTAATGTAGCTCCCCTAAATCCTTCAATGAAAAATGATTCTTCAATAACACGACCACCTTCTCAATTGCACTTGAAGACTGCCCGGTTATTATTATGTCATCGACATATATTAAAACATATGTTGACACATCACCTGCTGTCAACACAAAGAGAGAAGCATCAGCTTTGGACTCTTTAAATCCAAGCTGCCCAAGACTATTTTTTAGCTTTGCATGCCAATTTCGTGGAGCTTGGCGCAACCCATAGAGGGACTTTTGCAACTTGCACACCAACTTGACGCCATCAGCTGTGTATTGTTCAAAGCCAGGTGGCTGTTGCATGAACACGTCCTCACTCAGCTCACCATGGAGAAATGCGTTATTGACATCGATTTGCCTTAGTGGCCATCCCTCAGAAACAACAAGCGCAAGTATGATATTCAACGTAGCAAAGCGCACCGCTGGACTGAAGGTCTCCTTGAAATCCTGCCCAGGGACTTGAGAATACCCCTTAGCAACCAGCCTAGCCTTGTATCGCTGAACTGTTCCATCAGAATTACGTTTAACCTTAAATAACCATTTGCAGCCAACAGCAGACCGACCTTCAGGTAACTTAACAAGTGTCCATGTGCCATTACTTTGAAGAGCAGCAAGCTCAGCATGTACTGCTTCTTTCCACTTTTTTGACTGCAAGGCATCATTGATCGATGCATGAAGCACCTCATTCAAGGAAGTAACAAGAACTTTGGGTTTAAAAACGCGATATTTGCTTCTCGTTAACATAGGATGTTGATTAGTAGGCACCACATCTTGTTCAGCTGAGACTTGAACACCAGCATTGGGCACAACTTCAGATTCTTCATTCGATAACTGAGTAGGCTCATAACCGCTTGACTCAGCTTCATTGACATTTATAGCCGAGTCAGCTTCAGCGTGAGAAGTAGAGCTAGCAACACTAGCGTGGGAAACAGAATCAGTATTCTCTTGAACACTGGAATCAGTAGCATCTGCATGCGTATGTGACGACTCGCTAGAGTGTGTAGGAAAACCAACCACCGTTCTTATCCTTCCACAAGAGGGAGCATTTTGCAAAGGTGCGGACCTCCATGTAACATCGAGAGGCTCCGACTCGGACTGTTTCTTATATGCAAAAGGGAACACATGTTCATCAAATTTAACATGCCTAGAGATGAAAACACGACCATCTTGACCAAGGCATTGAAAACCTCGATGCTGCGAGCTGTAGCCCAGGAAGACATACGGGGCAGACCTAAACATCAATTTATGTTGTTGAAATGGCCTCAACTGTGGGAAACAGCGACACCCAAACACACGTAGTGTAGTGTAATCAGGTTTAGAACCAAACAACTTTTCAAACGGTGAGATATTACCTAACACTCTCGTAGGTAGACGATTAATCAGGTGTGCAGCTGTAGCCACAGCATAGGACCAAAACCGAAACGGGAGAGTAGC